AAAGATCTGATCTTTCTTTATTTGCCAATAAAATATATGTGTGTGTGTGTGTGTGTGTGTATAAATCAGTATCTGCTCTATAACTGTTTTTTATCGTTTTTATTATTATTATTTATTTAGAGGTACAGTTTCCCTTCTCTTTATGAAGAATGAACTCTGCTCCCTTTGTGTAATGAGAGGGGAGGGACAACCCAAGGGAGATCCTTCCCCCAGGTGTGGATTTGGGGCTCAAGACACACTTTCCTGCTGCTTCCTTGTTGCTTTCTCGTGTCCCGCGTTGGCTGTGGAGCCTCAGTGCTGGCAGAGCCTACAGAAGAGATGATGGGCTCTTGTGGCTCCATGGAGGCCAGCATGGTCTCGGGCTGGTTGGCCTGGGCCCTGTGTTGCCCTGGTGGAAATGGTGGAGCCCCGGGGGCTGGGGCTGAACGTGCCCTGGTCAGGCTCAGGGGATGGCCATTTTGCCATTCTGCTTGCACGTCACTGTTTTCTTCTCCTGTACTTAAAACCCAACAAAGGTCTTGATTATTTGGAAGAGTCTTGTTCTGGGCTGACAGTGAGTTCATGATTTTCTTTCATCCTTTTCCCAAGCTTTGTCCCACTTCCAGCTGCAGTGGCCAGATGCTCCTGTAACCGAGGGCTGAGTGCACACAGCCTGGTTGTGCCAGGGAATGGCACTGCTCCGCTTCACCAGCACAACAGGAACGCGGGCTCCAGAAATCCCCTCCATGTACCCAAGTTTTCCCTCTTCGCTGCCTGCAGGACCAGGAAAGGTCCTGGGACCTAACAGAGTCCTGCTGTTACACTGCGTGGGACTCAATATGAAAACCTGTTGAAAACAGTGTAAATCGTGAATTCCTCGAGGCAGAGAACAATGACACACTTGAATGTCTCAGCCCAGCGAGTAGCAGTGCACCAATGATTGCCTGCACAGCTCTCCTGCAAAGTACTCAGCCATCTGAGCATCCATTTTGGTGTTTCATCCCACTTTTCTTCTTTTGTTTTATTCTCTTGTGATAGCAGCTACCTGTTCACAGCCTCCCTCGTGAGCCCTGCACGTCGCTATCTGCAGTCCTAGTGAGTCACATTTCGGCTTTCCTGATCAAGGTCCAGCTGGAATCTCACATCTTTGTTTCATGTATTTAATATACTCAGAATTCACTAAATGACAGTTTATAATATCATTATCAACAGTTAAAGACATTATAACTTCAAGAAATGGAAAGAAAGTGCAGCCATATGTGGAAATGCTTTATTTTGTGCACTTTTAACCCTCACAATAGCTCAGCTGCAGAGAGGGGACAGCAGTGAGAGGCAGGAAAACAAATCCTATGTCTGCAAAATCATTTTTCAGCTTTCCCTCCACTGTTGTCATGAAAGAGCACTGCGCTATTTGGATGGTAAATAACAACCAAGGACTAATTTATTTTTCTTCATAAAATTATTTCTTGAATTGGATTCAAATGTGTTCCTTATTACACGGTTTGATAATTCAGTGATGCTTTCCCCCCATAACATATGAGCTGATTTAAACCTTCACTCTAAACAGCCTCAGGCTTATTAAGAACAGTGTGGACTGAGTATGGATTAGGTTTAAAAGTAATAAAAAAGTAGACCTGTTGGTTAGGTGAAAAATTCACTATCAGATTCCTGAGTGCAGCTTTCTTTTCATGTGCAAACTGCATTAAATGAGGCATTTAATTCAACAAATCCATAGTTCTGATCCACCAGAAATAGAGACTGGGTTAGTTCAATTTGTAACAAACGATCTCCATATGATCAAAGTCCTGAGAGCTGATTCCAACATACTGCTTAAATTAGTCTAACACCGAAGTGTTTGGCTCTGGGACAATATTTGGAATGTCTTACCAGAAGAAAAATTCCTCTGCACACATGGTTCCAATATCGGGGAATGCCAACCTTGCTTTTTAATGGGCTGACAGGGAGCCTCCGTGCTAACTTTCTGACTCCAAAAAGTTCTTGTGCTGTCACCCGCAAACCAGCTTGGATAATTTTTCCTTGGCTTCCTTATTAAAGCCTGAATGAAGGGATTGTGTGGCTTTCTTAATGTCACTTGGTCTGCTTGCCATAAATTCAAGCACTCATGATGAAAGCTCCACTTATATTTCGCTGGGAAATGGAATCAAGGAGAATGCACCCTCGTTCACAATAAATAACTAAAGTTGAGTTATTAAGTGTATTTCATATACCAGCGCCTTATTACATCAGCAGTTTAGATAATGGCTTCTTAAAAATATTTCTCTACTGAGATCCACGAGGAGCGGGTTGCACATAGACGTCCCTGTGCACAGAAACCAAAGCAGCTGGCTCCAGCAGTAACTTAGGACTGTATTAACCAACAGCAAATATTTACATTTTTACATGCTGCTGTCTGTTTAGATTACGCAGCCGTTGTGCTCTCAGCAGCGAGCAGAGGCAGTGTTTGCTCCCCCTGCCAGGAGCGTTTGTTTGCTGCGAGCGGGATGCGAGCTGGTGCAGCCCTGTGGCTGCGGTGCGTGGTGAGCGTGGCGCACGGTGCTCAGTGGGACTTCGTGCCCCTGCCTCCCTGCGCCCTTGTTTGTCACAGTAACACACAGCATTTTCAAAGGCCTCGGCTGAATTTCCTCTGTTTTTATGGTTTGTCTTAATGTGAAAGTGATTCATAGAATTAAGCTGGAAGGGTGCTTTGTGGCCTTCCAATATTTGAAAGGAGCCTATAAACAGGAGGGGGAATGACTATTTATGAGGGTGGATAGTGATAGGACAAGGGGGAATGGTTTGAAACTGATACAGGGGAGGTTTAGGTTGGATATTAGGAGGAAGTTTTTCACCCAGATGGTGGTGAGGCACTGAACAGGTTGCCCAAGGAGGTTGTGGATGCCCCATCCCTGCAGGCATTCAAGGCCAGGCTGGATGTGGCTCTGGGCAGCCTGGTGGCTGGTGACCCTGCACACAGCAGGGGGTTGGAACCAGATGAGCATTGTGCTCCTTTTCAACCCAGGCCGTTCTATGATTCTATATTTACATATCTTGAATATGCATTTCAGTCTTTACGTTTTTACACCACGACTGTACATGCATGTGTGTAATACAACATAGTATTATGTTCCACTAGGAACAGCCAGTGAGTACACGCCCCTATCAGCACGTTGTTGTTGCAGCTTTGCAGCTCCCTCCTGGTTGGTTACGTTGCATTTTGGATAATGAGGAGATTACTTTTAAATCAGTGCTAGGCATTGCTTGGTATTTTATAGCAGCTGGAAGAGAAGGAAGTTAAATGATGAAAAGTTGGAGCTCAGAAATGGAGCAACACTGCTGTTTTCCTGCTAACTCTTCTGAACAGGTGGCTAAGTAAGCCAATTAAACAGACTTTAAGAACAAATTATGATAGTAATCCATTGTCTGGGATCATTGAAATGCGCTGGGTGGAATCTTGTCCCCAGAGCTGCCTGAATAATGAAAATCTATTTTGGTGTAATTTTATTGTTTTCCTGTGTTCACTGAATGTTCGGAGGAGCTTGCCTTCCCTCTCTCTCTGGGCTGGGCTTCAGGGCACACAGCATGGCAGCATGGGCTGTGCCTGACTGGTCGTGTCCTCCAGACACTCTCCTCTGCATGGCCTTGCTCAGAGGTGATTAAGAAACCAGTCAATGTCCGATGAGCACTGCTGTGTGTGCGATGGGGAGGGCAGTGGGAAATTTGGGTTTTGCTCCTGCTAAGGACAACGAATGGCCCACTGGCTTGGGTACTGCTAGAGAACCCCAGGACCAGCACTGTGAAGCCACTGTGGTCCTCACCACTCAGCTCCCTCTGCTGAGCCCCTGCCTTTGCAGGTTGCTTTGTGTTTCCTTTTTGCTTTTAAATCCGGGACAGAAAGGAGTTGTGTGGAATTATTTCAGGCTATCGTATGGTAACAACTCCACGTTGCCACGTAGGGCTGCATGAACTGGTGACCCAGTGACAAAATAAATTACGTGTGAGCTGAGGGCTGGAGATGGTGAGTGGCAGAAGAATGGTGCTCCAAACTGTGTTCAAGAGATCCTGTATTCATTTAAGAAAAGTGACTGGTTAGCCAATTTATTCGTTTGACAAGTTCCTTTTTAACCATCTTAATTCAGCATTTAGCCTACAGTGCCCGTCATTAGCTTATTAGATATTCATCGAAAGAGATTTTAGCATAAATACGGTTCCACAGAGGATTACACACAGGGAATCTATTCTTTTAACCTACTTATTTGGATACCAAGTATTTGTTGAAGTGGACTCGTATTTACTTAGTCCCTTAATGAAGTCTAGAAAAGCTTTTCTGCAAAGGGAATATTGTTTTGTAAAAATTAGCTTACTTAAATAGTTTTCAAAGTCATCTCAGAACAAAGATTTCAAAGACAGAGCGCCAGCCTAATATTTACTTTTTACGCCGTACGGTAGTTTAGACTTGCCAGAAAAAGTGCACTTGCTTTTTTGTGTTGTTTTGTTTAAATTTCTCTGTTTCTAGTTGTGAGATATATATGTCATTTCTAGGGGTATGGAACTAATTGAGGAATATGTCCTGCCCTTGTTGAGGTGAACAGGGCAGATAAATAAAAACTCCATTGGACATAAATCTCCTCCACTAACATCAAAGAAACAGGATCCTGCTAAGTGTATTTGTATAATGCAGTAATTTATGCAAAAAGCAGCTTTTGTCAGCAATGCAACAAAGCAGCTTTGATAAATGTCCCCTAATTTATTGTCATGTATCTCAAATCAAAGTAAAACATTTACAGCCTGCACACTGAAGGAACCCAGGCCCAGGGCACTTAAAGGGTTTCTCTCCCTCTCCATCTCCAGTCCCCCCTGCCCCCCTTCTTTTTTTTAAAGTACATAAAGCTAAGTTGGGCAAAAGGTTAAAAAGGCTCTGTTTTGAATGCTAAGTACTTTATACAAATTATGGGAAAAATAATAACGGAGCTGCTTAAAGAATGACAGAAAAGCCTGTACAAATTCAGATTAAAAATCCGCTTAGCTTTTCTCTTCTGGGTGATGTTTAACAAATCATAATGCAGGCACTAATTGTGTTTTACAGGGACAATCCCAGTGTCTGGGGCTCTGAAAAAAGAGTGAAACAGTGATTGGAAATGGTAAGTGTTGGCCACAGTGCTTCACTGCCCTTCCCAGGTCTCCTGAGCCTTGCCAATATGGAAGTCAACCCAAATGTGAGATGGTGGAAGGAAATGTTACCACTGACTTGGAGATAAAAATGAGCCCCCAAGGAGGAGAAAGCCAAAGTGCCAAAAGCTTCATCACCACTGCTGGTTCCTCCATGGTATGGAAACTCACTGAGTTGAGCTTCTCCCAGCTTCTAGGGAGATGCAATGGCCCTGTCTACAGAGCCAGTCCCAGAGGACCATTTTACAACGGAAAGGTCACACAGTGAGGTGTGACTGATGAGGCAGGATCTGAAATGGTGTGGCCACGGTGCCGGTGAGGACACGGGTGCCCCGCAGCCAGGCTCAGAGCTTCAGACCTGGCCTCTGTCAGTGGGTGCCACTAGGAGCATGTCCCTGGCTCCACTGCCTCTGCCACATTGTGTGCCACCTGGCTGGTCTGGTCATTGGGTGTCCTGGGTTGGGCCGTGACTGGGGAGTGAGCATCCCATGGGGTGAGCTGGGAGGAAGGGGAGGAGACAGTGGGGATGGACACAGTGGGGCCACGGACCATCCTGTGGCCATGTATGGGGACAAAGGGGCAAACTGCTACCCTATGGAGTGGGATGCTGTCCTGCAGTGCTGCTGAGGAGCAGGAGCTCACTCAGGAAGGCCTGGAGCTGGCTCACGGCAGGGAGGCTGCTGAATGCTGATAAATTAAAAGTATGTGGGCTTGTCAGTCACCCGCACTGCCTTCCAGTTACAAAGACCCAAAGTGATACGGCTGCTTCTCGAGACCCTTTGATATTTAGGGGGAGTGATAAATTCAGTTCTGTTTCTGCAGAGATCTAGAGCAGCTCCACATGTCAGATTGCTTCAGAAGTAGACAGCATTTCTATGTTTTTTACTTAGAAAGCTCTGTTTATAATAAACCAAACATACAGCTCCAGGAGTACAATATCCTTCGAGTGGAGTTGTTTCAAAGTGTTTTACAACCCATCTGGTGGGCTGACTCGAACTATTAGGCGTGTTCTTGGAGAAAATGCTTTATTCGCACAGATAGCAGTATGTTTCTGGTACTGCAAACCAGAAGAATGAAACCTTGCAAATCCAGGCCTGCTGCACCATAAAACAGACATGAGTTCACCGAGAAAGTGAAAAGGAGATGTTGTTTTTTAAAAACGTTCTACTTTCTTTGTGTAAAGTTGTGCCTGTGTGTAGCAGAGCCGGCGCCATGCCAGCCCTCATCGGCATGTGGGGCTGCTTGCTGCAAGGCCTGTGCGTGGCTGCCTTGCTGGTGGCATCATGGCACACTCAGGCTGTGAGTCAGTATAAGAGTTTAAGTTCATATCATAATCGCTGGGGTTGTAATTTAAATTTTAGAAAAAGGATTCTGCAGCCACGGTGATCGAAGTGAGAGATGTTCGTGTTAAAAGCACCGAAGGTGCACTCAGCAAGGCTGATCACGGGTGCAGTGAAAGCAGAGCCAGACCACCGCAACACCTCCATCAGGTGCAGAGCTCAAGGGAGAATCCCCAGGAACAGGTAAGTTTAAAAAACAAAATGCATCACTAACATTCATCGACTCTTGCTTGAATATTTATGGAGACCAGCCAGTGGATGTGAGTGCAGTGAAGTGGTGGGCAGGGACAGTGGTCACCTCTGCTGGTGCAGATGTGTACAAAAGTGGCACGTGGGCTCTTGTTCATTGCTGGTGAAAATGCAGAGCTGATGGTGGTGACCGTGTTGGAGAATAGCGTTTGTTGCTGGTAATCTGCTCTATCAAACAGTGTTACTGTGCTCTTTGTGTATATATCTTTATACATAGAGATATGGATAAGGAGACAAGTGTATGTATGTGTGTGCATCACATTACATGTCTCTACATAAAGACATTTCAGGACATCTGTATGTTAGATCACAGAGGGTTGCTAGAATGAGAGGCTCGCCCAGGCTGTGGCACTGCCATGGCTCATGGACCTGTAGGGGCACAGCAGGTGACACTGGTTTACACAGCAGTGTGCAGGGTGGGTGGTGGGAGCCCTGCCTGCAGCACAGAGCTACATATGGGAGCAGGGGGACACAGGCAGCAGGAGCTGCACTGCACTCTGTGTGCAGCTCAAGGCTGGCGGGTTCCCACATCTGCTGTGGGAGGTCAAAGGAAGTCCTCAAAGTACATTTAAAAGTACATTTAAAATGTGCACATGTAGCAGCAGCATGATCAGCAAAGCTGTTAAGCAGATATGCCACATTAAAACCAGTCTCCTGCAGGCACCAGCAGAGCTGCTCCTAGATGGCAGTCAGGTGGCGGCCAGCACCCAGAGGGACAGTACCTTCCTGTCACTGTCACTGCTGTTTCTCTGTGCTTACTGCACCACTGAACCACTTCTCTGTGTCTTAGCACTCAGAGAAATGAATGGGAGCTTTCCCTCCTCCATGCTAAGAGGGCAGCAGGTGTGCTTTGCACAGCCAAACCAGCAGCAGCTCAGGATGCCATGGGCCTGCCCATGCCCGCAGGGCCCAGGTTGAGGATGCCCCTGCCCTCTCCCCACCCACCCCCCACTGCCAGCATGGTCCTGCTGCATGGGGTGCTGGCCATGCATGCTCACCCTGTGCCCTCCCTACTGCATCCATTTTCCTTTTCTTTTTGCATCAAGGCTTTGTAATGAAATTTTATCCCAATATGTTTAAAGCAGAGACAGCTGTGAGTAGCTGTTAAATAGACACAGAGAAGAGCTTGGACCAAAATATGCGTGTTCAACACAGTGTTTTAGCTGTAAGTTGTGCTACGAGACCGCAAAAATGAAGAAATCCAAATGTATTAATTGTTTGAAAGGGGAACACTCGTTGTAAGGGCAGGCATCCTCTTAGAGGTCTCACTTTATCTCAGCGCACTTATCTGGGAGCAGTACATCTGACACAGGGTTTCAGTTTATTGTGTAATGCTTCAAAAAGAAGCAAATGCAAATGGCCAATAATGGTCCTTATAATTTGAAATGCAACCAAAATCGAACTTTTTGAGCAAAGAAGTGGAACGAGATTTTGTTTTTGTTCATCTCACAAATTAGTCTTAATGTGACACACACATTTCAAAGGAGTTCACGTTCAGTGCGAGCAGGCCAAATAAAGAAACACAACAAACCCAGCCCCCCCATCTCAGAACGTGGCATTAAAACCACATGGATTTTAAATTCTTGCTCTTACACTCAAAATTGCATTAACAGATTTTGACCTCAAGAGTAAGGCACGTTACGTGTTTGAAGGCCCAGCACTGCTGCTGCGATCCACAGCACTGCTCCCACATACTGCCTGAGTGAGGCCTTGCTGATGCAATAGTGGCCCGCATATGTCTCGTATTAATGGTATTTTCCTAATAGTAATAGCATTAAAGCCTGCCTACCTAGCTATTGAGTTACCTTATTTAGGGTAATTTGCCCAAAAGCCTAACCTGGAGCATGTGAACAACCGTATCATTTTATAACACTTAGCTTTAAGATATCAGAAATCAAAGCAGGCTGACAGTCTGATTCCAGAACTAGTGGTTTTCCATTTAAAAAAACAAAAACTGTTGTGTTTCTTGAATTAATTCATTATCTGGATTTTTGTTGTATTTTCCACATGGAATTGATGAGGAAAAATTTTTTTCTAAAGAATGAGATGAGCAAAAATTCACACATGGAAAACAAATGAGCATTGGGAAGCACTCCTCATAGCTAATGGCTACTTGGTATGGTGCCAGAATTCATACAGATCCTTAAAATCAAGTAAATTATGCCCGTAGTGATAGCTCCCTTTTGCTGGAGTCCCACAACAAGCACCAAACGGTGGAACGGCGCACAACTGCCAAATTCCATTTTTCACCTCCCATTTCCTTTCAGCTGAGCAGCCTCGTTCCCAGCAGAAAGGCCCATGCATTTTTTATGGCTCCCCCTCCCAGCCCCATGTGAAGGGCCTGATCCTGCCCATGGCACAGAGCTCTGAGGGCAACGCCTACCGTGGGTCAGCGTGTTGGTGGATGGCAGTGGTGGTGGCAGTTGGATGCACGCGTCTTTCCACTGAAGGGAATGGAAAGAATTGGGTCTTGCAAAGGAAATAATCATAAAACAAAAGCCTTCTTCTTTTGCTTGGTTCCCTTGATAAGATCTCTCGCTGAACTCAGAGGTTAGGAAATGTGCCGCTCGCCGTGCGCCAGATTAACAACTGTTGAATTCTGTGCTAGGAAATTCAGCTGGATTACAGAAATATCTGTTAAGACGAGGATAAATATTTATAAACAATCTTCCTTGCAGAACATGTCTCCATCATTCATTTCCCCGTGATGAAAAATCTGGAACAATGGAACTAATGACTACATTGTTCCAAAGTTAAATCGTATATCTAATAAGGAAAATACTAAAATGAGCCAAATTCTTTATGAACACAACAGCGAAGCAATTAAAATAAATGTGATTTTCCAGATCAAAACTTCTGGCTGTTAATTGCTAGATGGCACCTATCCTAGTCATATGAGTTTCCCTCGCAGCTGTTTTTATTTCACGATACATTTTGGGCTCCCCAGAGCCGTGCTGAGCTTGGACGTGGCGGCAGCGCGCCCGGACAGCTGCGTGGGGCTGCAGGGCTGATGATGCACTGCTGGGCCAGGCCTCGGGCCAGGCGCGTTCTCGCTGCTTGCCCTTTGCTTGGCCGCTGGTTACAGTGGGGATGATGGGTGGGCACTGTGCAGAGCGCTTCCCAGAAAGAGTATTTTGGAGGACTTGCTTCCGTCATACGCTGTGTCCTAGTCATGGCATCTGGCTGAGCTCATACCCTTACCTCTTCACTCTCTGCATTGGACTTTTTTTATAAAAAAATTTGTTCATGGATGCTCTAGCACAGCAGCAGTGGGGCAGGGGCTGCAGCCCACCACGACCAGGGCTCTTTAACCCACCCCACCCCAGAGCTGAAACTGCACACTGGAAATCTGGCACGCTCCAGCCAGCTTTACTTGAAGCTGCACTTTGGTATCTGTAGGTTATTAATGAGATTAAAGAACTCCGTTACAGGGAATGACAACTGCAGTTTGTCCAACATTAAGCAGATATTGGCATCCTTAGGTGTGAGTAGGGAGGCAATGATCTCAGATATTGAACGAGCTAAAGCCATGAGCAATATGATATTGATTAGACAATGGGTATTGTATTTACCCACATAGCTTTATTGGGTGAGGCTCAATGTGATGTGTTTTTATTTGGGAAACTTAAGGAAGATAATTAAAAATGCTGTAAGGAGAGCCCAGCAGCCTTTGTGCTTTGCTTTTTAAAGGCTGCAGATGTCCTGTCTTCTTTCTTTAAAACGGCATGCGCTCCCTCTCCACCTTCCAAAAGATCAAGGGTAATAATAACAACAATAATAATACAGTGTCCTGGAATTTTTCTACATGCCTCAAGAGAACTTTAATTTTTTCCAGAAACTGTTTTCTGACAACAGCCGCCCCGTGGACTTTTCCTGTTCCCCAGTATGCATTCCCAGTGCTGCTGCAGCCGAGTTAAAATGGTGTCTTTTGGATACGAGGCCTTTTATGTAGAAAACCTTTCTCTTGCTGAACAAAACCCTGCCTGCAGCACAGGGCAGCCCTGACCCGGTGAGCAGGTAGCGTTGTGCACTGTCAGCTTGTGCACCCGGGCAGCTCAGTGTGGCCTCCGTGACAGAGCTCAGGAGCCTCACATCCACAGCCCAGCGGTCCAAGCATGCACCGAGAATGCATCCTCCCCACCTCTTCTGCTGTTTCTCCCATCAGTTGCATTCCCTTTCCCCAAGGGCTTTTTTCCATTTCTTTTTGGTTTATAATCCCACAGCAATGCCCAGCCCAGCTGTGTTCCCATCTTGCATCAGAAGGCTGACTCACTGCAGCGCTCCTTCCATGGGACACGGGTCCACGTGGCTGCAGGCAGGGCCTGGGCCTGGCACACAGCGAGGCCTGCATCCAGCTCAGGGCTGAGGCCAGCCCCCGTGTGCCACCCTCTTTGCCTCTGCCAAGGCTGGTTAAGCTGAGGTGTGATGGCTCAGCCTTTCCCCTCCCTCCATGGACGGCTGCTGCTCTAACTCCCCAAGCTTTTGGCCATGGGCCGTTTAATATTTTCCTCTAGTTTAGCCATTTCCAGTCACCAGAGCTGCTGCCGACTCCGCTCCCATGGGTGAGGCAGCTTCTCACAGCCACCGCTTCCTCTGCTCTCCAACCTGATGCTTTCCAGCTCTGCGCTTTGCAAGGGGAGGCAGAGGAGCGTGTGCTGAGCCTCCATCTGCACCACATCACGGGAATACAAAATGGCACCAAGTCCTACTTTTCCTCATTAGATGTGGGCAAAGTTGGCTGGAGCACAAGTGCGAAAGCTCATCTTTCTTCAGCTGCTTGTAATTCATGCTTGAGCAAGAGAATTATTTGGGGCTTAAGTCAGAGTCTTCTAAGTAGGTCACAGTTCTTCTAGACCCAAACTCCTGCATATGACTTCTCAGAAATGCAGATCCCTGTCCTCCTGATTTGTGAAACACCTCAGGAGCCCTCTTATCAACTTTATCAGCTCCTCAAATGAATCCATAAAACAAGCAGCTACTGAGAAGTTGCATCCTGCATAGAGTTCAGACTTGGAAAGATTCCCCTGCCTTGGGTGGCAGCCATTTCTGTCTCATTTGAATGGCTAGTTTCTTGCATTTTAAGGATGCTCCACTGTAGCCAGGTAAATGAATGCACCCTGCAACTCCTCTGGTCCTTGCATTAACAAGAGGACAAAAAGCTATGGAGAAGGCAAGGAAGCTCCAGCCCACATGGGGTACGCTGGCTGAAACGAACACATGCAGTGCAGTCCACGCTGTAAAACAGCATTCATTTTAGTGGTGCAGAGGCTGATTTGCTAAATCATCACAGCATGTGTTAGATGTTAGTCTGTAGAACAGAACTACAGCTTCAGACACACCCGGAGATAAAATGAGGGAGATACAAGGGCTCAAGAAGCAGCAGATTGGAGTGGAATGGCACAGTGCAAGGATGTGTTAAGAGTTCTTTGCTGCACTGGTGGCATAAGTAAATTTTTCTGATATTTCTGCAGGACAGTTCTGAATGCCTCTAGCAGCTTACCATCTGGGCATGAAAATGATAGCATTTGCTTTTTTCAGTCATCTAGAAAGAATTACCTCCTCCTCCAGTAGCAAGATGAGTCCGGACTACACTGACATCGGGGAGAAGTCAGAACTAAGCATACTCTGTATGTCTCGCTGGAGGAGTTGCAGTTAAGTCTGATTTTAGTCGAGTCATCTGGCCGGGGGAGACTATCCATAGGGATGGACTGTAGTTGTCAGCAGTCAGATGTTAATGGGGCATTTCTCTGCATTACGGTGCCATGCATTTAGACATTTAGATTTCTGCCCTTGACTGCTGCTTTGGTGTGCAGTGGTGAAGTGCTGGAGCTGGATCACAGCTCAGCTCTGTGGCCGCATTCGGATCCCTGAAATGAGCTGAAGTGCTATTTTACCATGGAATACAGGATGCCCTCATGCTTTTATGCTTTATTTTTGATTCTGTGAGGTTATTTTCACTTCCTCTTCTGAAAAGAAACAAAATGTTAGATGTCTAATTGAATGGACTGCTGGAAAAGATGCATAAAAAGCTCTGGCACATGAACTTCTGTTAAGCAAATGCCTTTGTTTCCAAACAGGCCAGCGATAACAAATATTTATTGACATTTTCCTTCCACAGGGGCGTTAGCAATTATAATTTGCTAGTATGTAACTCATGAGTACTTACAGGTTTTGAACAGAACATCTGTTGGTCAAAGATGAAAAAGGAGCTTGAAAAAAAATTTGTTTTTCCAGGGTTATGAAACTAACAGCATCACAAATTATCACTAGGAAAACAGTTCAAAAACCTGAACTTGCACTTGTGGAAAAAGGAACACAGATAGAGGAAACAGATAAAAACGCGTTGTGTTGGTAGGCTTTGTTTTCTGCAATGATGTATTGTTCCAGCGAAGCGGTTAACAAACAAATTATTGTCTGCGTCCGAAACAGCCAAATCTTTGGTTCCACCGAACAGATGTTAAGGTGAAGCAGATTAAAGCCGAATTCACAATAGGGCTGCTCCACAGGAAAGGTGCCCTAAGTTTATCTATTGTTAAATAATATAATTTATCGTCTTAGAGGGCTGTGGAGTAATTTCTGTTCCTTTTTACTTTTTGAACAAAGATTTATAACATAGATAATCCCCAATTTTAGATATTTGCTGCAGGTTATATTTGAAAGAATTTCCCAAAAGACTGATAACCCCTTTTTTTCCCTTAACCACAGTCAAACCAGTGAACTAATATGATGCCTGCTTCAAATAAATGTATTTGCTGCCTCTGTGCATGATAAGTTTTCATTTAGTCTACGATCAGCTGACAGTATGCAAGTTTGCAGATACCAGTAATTGAATACAGATAACCTTGGTTGTTGACCTATGCAGAGGCATGGCTGTCTAGTTTCCATTGTTTCTGTTTTTGCTAGTTGACACAAAACTGATGTGGGCTGAATTTATATATTAGCCATCCATTATAGTGGGAATTGCTTATCATTGTGGATGGATATTGCAAGAAGTTTCTATTTATTTAACCTAATAAGATGGCAGAAACAAACCTGATTGGGCCCACTCAGGATCAGAATTAACCCTTAGTGGTCCAGTTAATTGCTGCACAGTAACAAGGCACGTAAAGGATGCTTGCCTTATTTTTGTTTTTTACATAATGATTTTCTTTTCAGTTAGAGGCATTATTTCATTTAGCAAACAATCCTTGCAATATTGAGAAACTGGATCTGAGGGTTGCAAAAGAGCTAGATAGTGCTGGATATCCAAATCCT